TCACATTAAAATTTACCAGCTAGATTCATGCCAAAAATGTGCATTTTCCAGCTAGGATAAGCTTCCGAGTTTAAACCAGTAAGCAAGCAATTGTTTTGAAGCGGGCTTCCCAGCAAGTTCCATGCCAATGCTTAAGAATCCCAGCCAGCGCACTAAGCCCTGCGGAGCGGATGTTTTGTATATCGGCTCCGGTGAGCACTCCTGTCGAGAAAGCGGCGGAAATCGAACCTAGTTTGATACAGGTCTGTCTTTTGTCACCAGCTCTGGCGTGACGAGCCATCATTTTAAATAAAGCTACAGATCAAATTCATGATCACTACTGTGACAACAACGAAGCCCGATCGAGTCGGCAAATCCCAAGCGATGAATCGACGATTATTTTACGTTATTACTGCGATATCGGTTGCCGTGACTGTGTATATGGTATCCAGGAATTTGGATAAGTTACCAGACGAACGAACTACGGCATACAGGAATTATATAAAGGAGTTACCAGGCAAGCAAGCAGACGTGAAAGGTAGGAATTCATTGCTTTTTAAATAAACTGAGGAGAAAAAATTACATCGCCCTTCAAACGTTGGCTATAAAAAGCCTTTCCTTCAGGAAAGCTTTTCATACTTCTCGGCAACAACACAACTAACAACACAGTAAATAACAGTAGAAAATCTATTAGCTCTTTTATCAGACTGACAACTTCAACACGCCAAGTGATGTGGCCAAAGGCATCCTCGAATACCGATAAAAGCATGATTTCCTGTTTCCCTGTTGCGAGGAAAAAGAAACACCATCGCACATTTTCAGCCGAAACTTATGATGTACGCCACCTTCCACACACTCAGAATATTAAACAACGATTGAAGTTTACGGAGCAAAATATCAGCCTTCCGATGTTTAAAGTGGATTGTATTGTGTCAGGACGCCGGGGTCATCACAAGTATCTGCAACTATATCATATTTCTTTATGCCGACACACTAAGCCCTCAGTTCATCGTTCAAGATGAACAAAAACAGCACACAATTTGCCCTCTGCCTGTCTTTACACTGACAACACTTGCTTGACGTATAACCCGGGCGGCATCCACTGATGCAACAACAAGAACAACAAGTTATTGAGGTACATTTCCAAAACAATACTTGGAATTACCTATTTAACTAACGAAAATATAATAGTTATCGTTAAAAAGCAACGACTTTTCGACCGTTCGACGGTCATTTTCAGGTTGAAAGTAAGATTTTTGCATGCGCCCAAATATACACAATCGATTATAAGAATGCTAATGAGAATATTTAAATACTTAAATATTTACATAGAAACAATACAAGAAAAATTGCGGCATGAGTAATAAAAAACGTTAAGGCGATAGAAACGATTAAAAAAAAATGAAATAATTAAGTAAATATCTGCGTTTCGATGTTTAAAGTGGATTAAAAAATTTCATTTTATTCACCAGGATAGCGAACGTTTTAGTGATGAATCGAGGGGAAGACAATGTTCTTTCACGAGTCTCACCGCGCTGCTGTTCCATGAGTATTGCCCAGCGAGAGGTGAACAGTCTGAATGCTAATTTGCCCAACGCGGCGAGTAAAACAAGTAAACTGCCCAGCGAGGTGAACAAACTGAATTCTAATTTGCCAAGCGAGGCGAATGAAACAAGAAAATTACCTACCGAGGCAAGCAAACGAAATAGTAATACTTACACCTGACATGACAAACTACTGAGTAACGTACCGATTTTGTAAAAGCAAAATATCTATCACATTTTGATAGCAGTTTATCAAGAATGATAATTTATTTTTAGTGGAAATTACTTCATCAGCATTTATTGCAAGTAGTAGACATCTACAGTGTTATTTATTGTCAATTATTGTCAATATACACTGAGTTTGCAAATGAATCTATGAAAGATCATATATTTGAACTGGGTTTTGATAGCAGTTTTTTAGAAGAAGAGTAATTATATTATTGACAATTCTTTCATCAGAGTTTATTGCAAGTGGTAAAAAAAATCAAATCGTTCGAGTTAAATATTACCCTTGTCTGTTTGGGCCTGTTAGATACTAATCCTTTTAAAAATAAGCGAGTGCGAAGCTGTAAAAACTCATGCCTTAAGAAAGAAAACAAGGGTTAAATAAAAAATACTATAATTCAATTTCAAACTTGCTTATTTCTATGACATTAATTTACTATACATTTTTCCAACCATCTCCAACACCACGTGATATCGTTACGTATCTCCCCCCTCCCCCCACCCCCCATCATCTTTTTACATGGGGCAGCACTTCACTTTAATTCCAATATGGAATCACTAGTTTACGATTTTCTAGTCAAAATTTGTTAATAGCAATTCTGTGATGGGGATTGGTTATCACATCGAGGGAACCCGATGGTTTGGTGTCTTTTCTAAAAGAGGTGTAAAAGTTTAATTTTCTGTTTGTGTCAATTAATTTTAACTGATGGGCAGTTAACGCTTTCTAATGTTTTCTTTAATGTGGGAAGTAAAGTGTTTTTCATTATTTTCATTTAACGCAACTCGAATTGTACTTGAGGCAAAGTTGATCAATTTTTTGCATCAGACCTGTCTGGTTCTTATCAGCCATCTCCTTAAAGAGTTGTAGACATTGTTTGGCTACATTATTTTCTGGCGAACTATGAAGATGAATCCAGAGGTTTTAAAGGCCAATATATTTATGGGTAGTCTACCAAGTTCATTTCTGGCTGCAACATTGGGGTATCGTTTATTTACCCCAAGAAATCGCTTGCAAAAATATATATGTGTTTTCTCAATATCGCCTTTCTCCCAAGTGTTAAAATCATCTTTATCACATATACCCCAGACTCCTGAAAAAAAGATCGTGTCTCTCGTTCAAGCCAGTCAAGCCGTTCATCGCATGACGCATAACCCGTTTTCGTGTCCTTCCTATTTTTGTTCAGACTGATTACGCATTTACAATAGAGATAACGCTTTTAGAATGATAAATGAATCTTTCCCTCGCGCAAGTCAGTTCGGAACAATCTCTTGGTTGGGAATTTAAATTTGCTTTATTGTTTTCCTCTCCCACTGTCCTCACTGCCTTCGAGAACAACTGTTAAAAGTTAGAAAAACAAGATAAAACGAACAACAAAACTTAGAACAAGGAAAGATGTGTGGGCTGACCTTGACTGTTGAACAGACATGAATGATCACAAGACAAAATAAGAGTTAAAGCTCGAAAAGAGTTCGAGGTTTCGGACTGAAAATGTAAGTCCAAGAGAAAATGATTTGAGTTCAAGATAACCAACTACCGCTGGCTTCTGGAGAGTACGAGATACACTGTGACTGAGTTCTAGATAGCGAGGTTCGGGCCTAGGAGTAGCCTGCAAACAGGCTCCCGGCGAGCGCAAACGAATTCTTCAGTTTCGCGCTCGTGGGCTCCCTGCGAACTGGCCGGGAGCCTGTTCGCAGGGAGTCTGTTCGCATGCTAGCCCAGCAGACGGGAGCGACCCCAAAAAACCGCTTTAAGTTGATCCTGTCTCGTTTCCGCGCTAGCAACACGAGATTCGCACTCTGCTCCGCTGAGGAACCAGCGATGCATCACATGGCTGCTGGTTGCCCCGTGCTAAAAAAAACCGTAGCAAGGCGCGGCAATGACTGAACAAGCAGTATTTCTCGGCATTTTCAGATGGGGCGTCTACTGTTATTGGCTACATTGCTGGCCACGCTCTTTGTGAATGTCTAGCGAGAACCGTACAAAAGTACTCATAATTGAGCAGACCTCATAGCAGACTCTCTTTAACAAAACAGTTCCCCCGAGTTTGATGGTTTAATTCTTTTAAACATGGGTCGGTTTTTGTTTTAAGCTGTGTTTTGCTTTCTGTTCTAAGGCTCACATCGAAGACTAGATTCTGGAACCGAAGATCAACAGACATTAGACCATGAAGTCTTTGACGGTGTTCAAACATTTCTGATGTTCATTGGATACCCTCGCAGCGGTCACACCCTTATCAGTTCCTTGTTAGACGCCCATCCCAATGCGATCGTTGCTAACGAGTTTGAGGTAATCCGTGAATGGAAAAACTGGGAGACTACCAACAAGAACAAGTATTTCCTGTTTGACCAGCTGTACCAGAACTCTAAACAGGAAGCTGAGATTGGTTACAGGTCGGCTACTGTTCGACATCGCTACAACTATGCGGTTCCAGGCCAATGGCAGGGAAAATTCAACAGCAAAATTTTGGTGAGTTTGTAGATGGTTCTTTACTTTTGTTTGGTACAAAACACTTAAGAGCAGCTTCGCCTAAATATCAAATAGACTTGGAAATAGCGAAAAAATCGAATTTCTTCAAAGTCGCCCAGAATGAAGCCCTACGGGCACTAGTTACAAAAATATTGTTTTAAGTTCGATAAATCAAAAAAAATTTTTCCGCAATTTTTTTCGTTTCGATGCCCCAAATCGGCCAAAATCGATCATGATCGAAAATGAGCGGTATATTCAGAGGCTCGTAAACTCAAAAGTAAAAATCTTCATTACAAACTGATTGCACGTCGTATTCATACTTCCTTTCTTGTCTATTTAGAGCTAAATAGATCGTGATTTGATGAGAACAAAAATATTTGATGAATTTTCTAAAAACGACCAAAAACAGCTTTACAAGAGGTCTACATTTAGCCTATTTTCAAATGCTAAAAAGGCGTTCTGGTACACGGCTTTTCCCAAAACGACTAGTTTGGTCTGAAAGAGCATTGTTTCTTCTTCAAATTAGTGAAATAAAATTTTTGGGTAAATAAAATCGCGAGCGCTGAGATAGCGAAGTAAATGCAGCACTTCTTCCTGAAAACGTGACCTTTGACCCAAGCGTAACGAAACCGATTATTGCAAGAAAACCCCGAAGAAAAGCCAACGTTTCGTTATTTTGAAACAATTTCCTAGTGATATCTCTCCGAAACCATGATTGCAAGAAACTATTTCCAGGTATGAAATCTTACAGGGTCAAAGAAGGAACTAAAGGTACAAAAAAAAAACCGGTTAGATGGCGGTACAGTGGAACCCCGTTAATCCGGTCACCAACGGACCACAAATACCTGGCCGTATAGTAAGGGGATGGCCCTATTAAAGCGTGGCCGTAAACAAACACCCAGAAAGAATGCACAGCTAGTTAATCGGCCTAGTGAAAACGCAACCACTCTCTTATTTTTCAAGGTATGGGGTTTGGCGTACGGACGTACCTACGTACGGACAGTCACATGACAACCAGAATATGTTAGATCGATGGGTTACCAGATTTTCTAAAGTATGGGGCTCCGCTCGCAGGAGCTCCGCTATTAACGGGGTGGCCGTAAGGCGGTTCCATTGTATTTCTTCAGTACGGACCTCTCGCTAGTTCAATAACACATATGTATTGGCACCTTCGAAAGCATTAATTAATACTTAAGACGGATTCCGTGCACAGTTTGAGCAATAAGTGCAAAAATTATTTACTAAAAATCTACTCACAGCACGGTAACTTTTTGATTACTTGTTTAAAACATCTCACTGTAATTCATTTCTCTAGGTGACCCCGCGATTAAATCCCCAAGCATTCTCGAGAAATTTACTGTCAAACCTCGTAAAAATGCTTAATGCGTGTGTTATTGTGTTTTCAACTAACGTGAAACGTCCATTTTTATTGAAATTTGGATAACTCCAGGTTCAATTTTCTCTCGCGGGGTCAGCTTGAGAGCTTAAGTCTCGATAAGTTCTTCTTACTTTTATTCATATTACCATGCTATGATATTTTTTTGTAACTTTGTTTTTGCCATTATTATTGTCATTATTGCTCGAATGTTCTGCGGAAATCATCTTAATTTGAGGCTTCTAATCAGCTGTGCAGCAATACTTGCCTAGTGATCGTAGTTTTGACGGTAAAACAGTGATGGAAATATCGCTTTGCAACTAAAATTATAAATGAATTGTGTCATCAACAGGTGATCGGATCGAAGAAAGGAGGCATGACAACAAAGCTACTCGTGAAATCAGAGAACATGAAAGCATTGAAACAATTACAGCAACATCTCGGTATTTCATTTAAATTTCTTCATGTGGTTCGCAATCCTTACGACAATATCGCTACCATGTTGCTCAGATCCTTGCACAAAAGAGAAGACGCCGATTTTGGAGAGAAGGTAACCAGATATTTTACGGTTCCCCGCCCCGACATTGGAGCGGGGGTGGGGGGGGCGATAGAGGAACACCCTGGCGTTTGACCAGTTTTTTAACAGATTCGATCAAATTCCCCATTACGGTTGCAAATGCCCCCCACTCGCTTCCCTGATGGAAGAGAGTTTCATAAAGGGTCGAATTTTCCACCTTCTGCAGTTTTTTAATGGGAAAGAATAACTACTTGTATACTTTCTGTTTCTAAAGTTAAAAGAACTCTTTCTACATCAGTTTTGTAGCTCCGCTAACCCGTTATATGCAAAGGGTTTCTGATAGCACCTTACTGATAACATACTTAACAAGTTCTTTTATAACTGCAAATCCACAATTGACATGTGTTTGAACGGAGGCTAATGAATGCCCTTTACTCGTTCCGGGTCAAACTCGCGGAGCCAACCTCGTATCAAATGGACTGGGTATACCCAGGGGGTTACAGGCGCTACTGGATTTCAGCCATTCATTCGTAGATAGCCCAGACTACCTGTAGTTTCTCTTTTTCATTTGGTTTGTCTAGTGACAAATGAAGACATCGGGAGGAAGAAAAGGCAGTGAAATCCTAGGCTCGATTTTGTAGCTTCTCACTCGACTGACCTAGGAAAAACAGGAACTGCACGTAGTTTGTAAATCCAGTTTTCTCGGCCTAAGGCGAACAGTTGTCTTAGAATAATTTTCAGAGGTGAATATAAGGAAAGACAAAATAACAAGCTAAGACGTGGAAAACAACTCGCCCAGACAAATGTCTCCCTACACACATGTAAAGATTAAAAACTTTTACGGTGCCCGTTACATTTTTTCCTGTCACCTCCCCAGTAAGTAAGACATTTGCGCATCTCGCACTCTTCTTGCGCGCGGACTACGCCATCTGCAGCCGGGTACATGTTTACAGTTGGATTTCAGTATAATTTTCGACAGATAACAGCTAGGTTTTCAGCTGGAGGACGTTAAGAGTTAGTGGTTAGCGATATGCTACTATTCTAGTGTTCCTGGTTTAAGTACAGGTTCATTAAACTTGATTTGGTCACAGTGAGAATTTTGCTTTCATTTAGTAGTCGTGTACTTGGTAGCTTAGTTGATTGCGTCAATGTCAACCCCAGCGCGCACGTGGCGCTTAAACCATGGCTTGCGTGATGCGCAGAACGTGTGCGCACTAACAAAAGTAGTAAGGGGATTCCTCACATTTGCATTGCGCATCCTTACTGCGCATAATTTATGGCGTCATTAGCGCGCATTACTGCACGCGCACATTGAAAACATGGCGGATTTGCCTTGATATTGAGTTCTGTCAGTTGAAAAATGGCTATAGCTCACTAACGA